ATTTTTATGTCGGTCGGATAGGATTACATGAGAGGGTGGAAACAGTTCACTATGCTTAGGTTCATAAGGTTCATGATAATTTGAAAATTTTAATATACAAAAATTTCGTTTAATAATATAGTTTGGCGCACAATGATACCAAATAGGGATCTTATTTACAAAGCCCCCCCCCCCCCCCCCCCGCCTCTAATGCAAAAACGGGAGAATTGAGGAAACACCCCCATCAAGTTTTTAAACTTGTTACATATTTGATAAGGTTTTAGACATGGATTTTGAATTGAAATTTTTACCCGGCAATGCAACATAGTTGAATCCAAAGCTCACACTTCTAGGCTTATGCGTGGTGCTTAAAGTCAAAATGGTCGGTTACAACTCTTTTCCTAGTTTCACACCGATTTCATCAAAACCAGACCATATCTTTACATATTCTTTCTCACCCTAGTTTGATGAATAATATTTGATTTTGACCAAATGGGGGTTATGCGGTTGACTTAACAACCCAGCATTAACATACCAGCCCACATACTTTCTGGGTTAATTAAGTGATAATATGATAATAAGCTTAAGAATTATAAAAAAAAATGTTTCTGGCGTAAATAGAGAGTACAGTACGTTTTGCGTGCTGCTGGCCCACAATATTGATTCTGTGTTGGTAAAACGAACTTCTTTCCAATGTTTCATATCTAACAGAATAGTCGACACTTTCTATCACAATTTTACGCGTACCATGGTTTATAGATTGTTTATATCGTAAATATAACCATAATCATAACAAGTTTCTCATGGGTACAAAATTACCACCCCGTACCGCATTCTAACAACCATAAGTAGTCACTCACTAAACTTAACTTTAGCATAAACATTTTTTGGAGTGATACATGTTTCGAAAACAATTTTGCACGCAATTTTATACCCAAATTTAGTGCAATTATTCAACTCATTACCATGTTGATTACGCTAAATCAAAATATATTGAACTTGAGTCAAGTCACGATATTTATCCAGCGTACGTGAATGATATTGGTACACAATTTTTCTATCCAATTTCCGGGAAATTAGTGGTCGTTAAAAATGTAATATGGCTTATTTAACGACAATGAAATCTCACTCCATATGCTTGCTGTTACATTGCACGTAATACTAAATTAGCTTTTATATTTATACAGATGAGAACTTGAACATTTTATTTACGGTTGGCGACCAAGCAATTGCGATTCTCGACAGAGAAACTCAATGCATATTTGAGTACCAAAATACTCAGAAAGCCGATACAGTTACAAGATAAAATATAAAGTGATGAATGACGACGATCTGCTATTATTCATATAATTTTAAGGGAACATTATAGCATTGGTAAATCCAAATGTGGTATCAGATCGCTACTAATTGAAACATAAACAATTATATCAATTTCAACGAATCTCTCACGGTGATGTAGGTGTTATAATTATACGAATAACGCCATGGTATTCACAACAATATAAATGACCCCTATTTTTGTTCAGGAGCGATCATGACCACATTCGTCAAACTTAATATGATAAACATTGAAGTGCAAGGGTACACCTAGCGGTCACCAAAAGAAAAGCGACAATAATACTTTCGTACAACCTTAGCTATTAGAAACAACTACAGCATAAGAATTTCAAATAAACATATTTTTCGTGCCTTTTTTTTATCAAAGAAATCTTGCATTCTCCTGTATGAGAAACATTTTAGTTTGTAATAAAAAATATTAGAGTGTTTTGACCCATGACATTACGGGACCAATTACTTTCAAAATAGCCGTCGATATTTTGGCGGAGGAAGAATTACAAGTTTTGAATTGAAGAATTAAGTTACATAATCACGAACTTGTGATTAGTTTCAGAATTACTGCATAAGGTAGGCCACTCATCGAAAACACTAGGAATGAATTCCTTCACCTCAAGCTATATATATATACATTAAATACTATCTAAATATTTGTTTTTGGCACATTTTCTGCCACGTGAGGTAAAAATAGCAACACGAAAGTTAGCATATTTGATTAGCATAGTCGCAATGTGAACATCAAGCTTTATACAACCATCAAGAGTTGTAAAAGTTCATTGTCGTCGCACCTAATTCAAAAATTAAAAGCACAAATAAAACTACAATGAACGTAAATGTAACTCACTATTTCCATTTGTCGTCGACATTTCTTCGATTTCAATTAAATTATCCATTGCGGCTAAAAAGAATAATGTGTGCCGTAGAAAGTGGAGCAATAAATCCCAATAACCTGAATGTTAATATTCCAATAGTCGCCACGAAATATACGTTCAAACAATAGCATTCGTTTATTTGACACAGCGTTTATCTTACGCCACGCAGCGCAATCAACAAATGTGAATCATAGTCGTCCGATATTTCTGGAACAAATAAATTCTACAGATTAGTCATATATATAACACTCAATGGTAAAGCTGTTTTATAATAAGTGCGACTCATATCCTGATTTTTTGTTAGCCTGTACTAATAACTGTCACCTGAGAAGTAACGCCAATAAAATTGGCGGATAGGCTAAGTAATAGTTACGTAGGTGGTTTGGTTGCGTCAGGCTCAGGCAAAAGATTTAGATAATAACAGACTATTGAAATCCAAACACTTTACAGCAAGCGATATTCTTGTAACTCGGTAGTTTAATAGCGTGACTTAGCTCATAAAACAGCCACTTTAGAGAATTAACGTCGGAGTTTTAAGCCATCCATGGTTGTCGCGACTTTGTTACTTTCAAACAGTTTTGACGGATTCACTTCAATTTTCCCTTACTGTGACGAATTTCCATTAAAATATCAAATTTTTCGTAAGTAAATATCGTAGTTTTTCGTAAAGTTGGTTAGCTATATTTTCACAATCGCATAATGTACAGCATCTTGCTATACTGAGGTATCGTATACCGCGTGTTTCTGCGATTTCGCCTTTGGTAAACATTCATTAGATTTCGAGTAGCGACAACGATAATTATATCTTAACATTCCCGAGACTCGCAAAGAAATTGTTAACTAAAAAATTATGATCGATTGACAAGTAACAATGAAGGTAGCTTGCATATATATAACGATGGTAAACTCTTTCTGGTTCAACAAAGACAGTGCGTTATTAAGCCATTGCGATTATATTAAGTGACAAAGTGCATGGTGGATATGCAAGAAGGTAAATCTAAAACCTGCGTTTCTCTCTCGACCTTTTGATCGCAGCAACACATCTGAACTGTTTTGCAGAAGCCTCAATACATACAATAAACTAAATCAATGCAACTTGTTCAACAGGACTTAATTTGAAAATTTGGCTGAAACCTGTTCCACGAGTGATGGATGGTGCTCTCGTGAACCACTGCTGCAGGTATATATTTACTGTTCATGACCGACTCGATATTTAACAATCCTTCTCAATGAAAAACTCATAAGCCAACCAGAACTCTAATTAACATACCTTTCAATTCCCTGAAGACGTTGGCGACGCGTAGTAAATTTAGAGCATTGTGTGAAGTATGGTACAAGCCATAATGCACAGAGAGTGTTTAACTGTCAATATTTGAACAAAATAAACACAAACTACTTGGGTTTCATTGGCGGAAAAAACAACAAAGCCCCACCATTTAGGAAAAACTCGAAAGTCGACATCCGTTGGAGCAGTGGTACCCGAACTTTTTAGAGTTGGGACCCACTATTTATTACCAGAGCTTATGGTGACCCACAGAACACAGCAATGGCTAATCATTACAAAACTACCGTGTTTCCTCGAAAATAAGACCTAATTTGAATTTTAAAAATGATCATAATAAAACCCTACCTATAAAATAAATTTAAAATGTGTGAGAGGGATTCAATGACCTGAGGTATGGTGAAGTTCACACCACTATTCAAGGTCGTGTGATGTCACAATTATGATATTTGTCACTTGATTTTTGTATAGGAAATACAAATAAAAACAATGGATGTCGGTTTTTATATAATGTTTATTAAAAAATCTCGTGATTTTCTACAATTTTATTTTTGATAAATGAACACAAAAGACATCTTCCAAAAAAATATAGTGGTATTCAACAAAAAAAATAAATCTAAATCTTGTCTAAATTTCGGGGAAACACGGTAAGAAGTGCTGTACAGTGTACAAAACTGCTATGCGTAAAAAAGCCACATGGTCATTCTTTGTGTAGCGAATTTTCGTTCCTTCGAGAAGATCGTAATAAGGAAACTTTCACAGATTAGAATTTAAATTCAATTTCTTTTGTTTTTTGAAGATTTACGTATTCGAGTCGCCACCGATCCTAACACCCAGTATAATTAATCAAAGCTTTCTACATATTTCCCACGACCCACTAAGATTCCTTTTGCGACCCACCAGCGGGTCGCGACCCATAGTTTGGGAACCGCTGCGTTGGAGTAATATCGAAGCTATTTATATACCAGTGCGTATGATGCGTTTAGGATATATATAATGGGTGCACGAAGGAAATTTCCCGAATGATGCATGCATGAACAGCGTCTTTCGCATTGAATCTTATAAGACATATAAAAAGGAACAGATGCAGAAGCTGGATGGTTTTCGAGTAAAGTCCTGCTGCTGTTGAAAGCAGTGAGGGAATTACAATAGACCAAAAACTTTAGCGTACGCAAGCCTGTTCAAACCGCCAAGTCAACTTCTATAAACTGTAGAAAATGTGGACTTCTGTCGTAGGCTCGTAGTCCGGGGCATTCAGAATTTCGATTCGGAGGAATTTGAATATACAGCTTCAGTGAAACCAACCAAATCTCGACTCCATAGCCCTCGGTAGGGGTATAAATCGCATTGACAATACGCGCACAACATGGCGAATTCCATTCTGTGTGCGCCTCAGCTGCGTGTACTCCCAAGTACAACTGTGTTAAATTATAAATCAAATCTAAAATTGAATGAAAGTTTTATTCGGATGGATTAGTCGTTCTAGCGATAATTGGGGGACCACCTTGCCATCGACATCGAGCTTCCCAATGACTGTTTTGGCATGGAGCCCTTGTATCAATTTCGCCAACGTTTAAACCAGAATAAGACGCAAACCAAATAAGACCTCAAGTGGAAAGACAACCACAAATGATGAGAAAACGGGAGAGTGTGTTGATATAAAAGTACAAGATTTATTTCAATATTTAGCTAATGCATCCATGACAATATGATTGAACATTTTTCGAACGTCTCGGTATAACTTCGCGTGTTCGTCACTTGGTCTTACTTCAGAATTTTCCTCCACGTTATTTTCGTCTCGATCATCTGAAAACATAATTCGATAATACGGATAAAAAATTATTTAAATATCATTCGATTACTTTATCAGTGAGTGTGATCGTATTTGAGAGTATATTGAATCAGAGTATGTAATAGTTTTTTTTACAAACTAGCAAGAAGAATATTGGTTGGAACAGCGTTACTTAACTCATAATATCTAAGTGAATAATCATTCAGAGCAGTTTTTGTGACCCACGAACGACCTCACTTTTAATGCATGAAACAAAAATTGTTCATAAATTTATTATTATCTGCGAAGGGTGTGTGTCGTTTACTCGCCGTCAGTTGCTATTAACACAGGAATAGGGTTTCGGGTACGTCATAATTCGAAGTTTAATGTGGCAATTGTTTATAGGTGGGAACTAATGTAGCCCAAATTGTCACATTTGGCAAGTAGTATATAAAGTTTGCTAGACGCTCGCCTGGACTTGGAAATTTGACTAGAACGAGATTCGCTAATCCCGATTTGGTGTAAGCATAATCAATAGGGGATTAAAAAAATCTACCTGTATCTACTTCATTTGGTACTGATGAATCATGTGAAGCAAGATGACAATGTGATATCCGTGATAAATGGAGAAGAATACTGATACAGTTGCGTAACAAAGGCGGAAACGCACTGGAGAATCGACGTAACGACGTCAGAGCAAGAGAAAAAAATTCACATCGCTGATGGGCAGGAAGAACTGGAATGAAGATAGGCAAAATATTAAATCTTGAAGTTGCCTACATGGTTACTACAACATATTTGCTTTGCGAAAACCGCGAAGATGCTCAATCTGTTACTTATTCCAAACAATTATCATAGGGACGTTCTAAATTAATCAAGTCTTCAAATTGCTTCCAAGTTTATTATAAAAATCTAGATTTGGGAATAAATTAGAGTTATCATTTTTAGGAAGTCTTTAGACTGAAGACGAAAAATGCTGAATAATGTTTGAATACTGAAGAACCATATTGAAAACCAATTGTATTTAGATGCCAATTAATAAAAATTGGATACAGCTAACGCTGGCTCACAGACTATAAATGATAAAGATTTAAAAGAAACACATGAAACTGGTTCCACAATTTCAAAAATTATTCTATCCCAAAAAATTGTTACAAAAAGAGAAACGTTACCTGATACCAGCGTAGATAAAACATTGACGCACAACCTTGCAATTGATAATGACTTAGGTAGCGGATAATGTGTAGATAGGTGAGACGCCAGTTGTATTGCAAATAATTGTTTTCCTATGTTTTGTTGTTGTAATAATTCAGGAATGAAATCGAGGCAGATGTGCATGGAAGGAACACCGCCCACAAACACAGGTATTAATTCGCTTGGGTATCCCTAAATAAAAGAGAGTGCTTAGAAATGAAAAAGAAGTTAGGAAATATCATTCTCTACATAACCGGGTGTATAATATAATTCAAACTTACGTTCGATAGTAAAAACGCTTGAAGTTGGAGTAAAAAAAATTCAAGATTAATGAAAAATGAACTAATACCTGAAATACTGTATGGTTAGGTATATGTTTTACTGGGTTCCATTACATTTGAACCCACGTACATTTGAACCCATGACAATTGCACCTGTATGCTATTGCACCTATGGAATTTTTTTTGTTTCACGGATAGTTAAACCCATACTAACTCTAACTCATGGGTTTTAGCACCCGCATATAGATTGAACCCGTGGATATACGCATGGGTTCAAATGTACATGGGTTTAAATGTACGGTCACCGTTTTATTGTACTGTCCCTTGACACAGATTTATTAGGCACCGTAAAGGCCTTTGCCAAATAAACTGGGGTAAAATGATAAGGTCGGTTTGAAGGAGGTGGTTGCTCAAGGTCCAAGTAAAAATTATCAAATAGTAAAATATACAAATTTAATAAATATCCCAGATACTTACTTGAAAATGCACTAATTTTGCCACTTTTGGATTTGCTATAAACATTTGATGAAGTGTTGAGCAAATCAAACAATGAATTTCACGCAAAGACGTCAATAGATTGCCAGGAATCTCTTCACCTAAAGATTAATGCAAAAAAGAACAGAAAAATAGGGGTTTATAACAAAACACAAATAGCACGACCCTTTAATAATTGAACCAAAGAACAAACGTGAAACATCATCTGGTTCACGCATTATGCTAAGTGTTACAAACAGCACTTCCCATCATGACACTGATTACCCAGCGTGCTTCACTGGTTCCAATCCAGTACCTGTAATAACGTTCAAGAGGATTACTGGACTCCTCACGGTTGTAGAGTGGTTCACATAGGTGCTGGTCAGTCATAGCTTTGGCACCATCAAGTCCATGTAAATGAAACTATTACCTGGTAACTTTTCATATACGGGATAATGGATTGGTAACCAAAGGAAAGCAAGGGTTTGCCACATGATTATTGACAGTCTTATTGACATTTCGAAATACAATTCCACCTGAGAAGTTAAAATAAGTAAATCTGACCACACAGTAAAGATATTTCCATATCCGAAGATGTCACCAAATTACCTTTTCTTGTGACTCCTATTGTACCAGCCACTTCCCAATCTTTTGCAGTAGGAAGACATGCTTCTATTAATATTTGAATTGCAGCACTATCTTGTGCACTGACCAATGCATAGCATAATTCCTCCTTTTCATTATCAGATACAGGTGGTGCAAAGGATGTTGGTGTATCACTTCGACTCTGAAAATGGTTGGTATTATACATTCTGACAGCAAGGCTATATTATTTCGGACAAACCAAACTGTCTGCACTATTTATCAAAATATTTTAGGGGTTGTCAACCAGTAGGAATTTAACCCATGTTTGAGGGTAAATTTTGACTGGTATTGGGGGGGTAAATTTTTCAAGCAAGAAAGTATATGACCAAAAGTGGCTGTTAACAGCAGACTGCAACATCCTCTGTTACACAATTAATATTCGTTAAGCTATCACAGCAAAGAGAACCGACTAGCATCGGACCTTTTTTCTATATTTCACTTACAGTTTAATGAAATTGACAGTATCCGCAGTTGAGGGGTAGGTAAATTTTACATTACAATTCGTCAAAAAATTAACACAAGAATATAAAGGTGCATAATCACTGCTCTAGTTATAATCAAACAATACTCCCGGCGTAGAAAACTTATGTAAAGATGGGCTACATAACAATTTTCTTAATTAGTTTCAAATGTCCAACCTATCAGAGACGTTAAACACCAACATAAAATTTCATAACATTCTCACCGGTATAGCAGGTGTGGTAACAGGTGGAATAGTTGGATTCGATTTCACCAAAGCAGAATAGTGAACCCTTGATGCTGCAAGACATGCGCTGACCATTCTCAAAACAATAGAAAGAATTTCTGGGCCTCGAAATACTCTGTCATCAAGAGATAGTATGGTGAGAGGATCTTCGACAAGATTATCTAAAGTTATATCTTGTTGTTTCAATTTAAATTCAGAACCTCTAGATGGATTTGATCTCAACTCATTGCATGTCAGGACCCATAATCTGGAATATCAAATAAATATTTTGTTAATATCTTAATAGTATAATACAAACACTGCTATAATGATTCTTATAAAAGTCCGAGCAAAATACAAGAAAATAAATGTCAAAGCATCTGATGTTTTGGTAATCTTCCTTTCTTCATATGGAAAATGAAAAGCTTATATCATCCTAAGTACATCATAATATGAAAAAGATGTTCATACCTGGGAGCGGAAAGTCAATTAATAAAAGGCTTAATCATATGACAAACCCAACCTTTGCGAATGAAATGAGATTTGCAACCAGCCTACACCACATGTCAAGTTACTTTGATCGATAAGTCATGTCCAACCCAAATGCCATTTGGGGCCACAAATTGTATTTTAGTTTTGCCGTGGGCCCCACAGTAAATAACATGTCACACAACATAAATAACAGTTTAATTTTAAGGAATATGTGAAGAATGGATGTTGGTTTCAAGTAGTAATTTGTAACAATTTTCCATCTCTCAGGAACAAAAAATTAATGAGTTCAAGTTGTATATATTTTCGCAGCCTCTTCCACTAGAATGTGGAATGAACACATGAAAATTTCGAATGAAATGTGGACTAATTAATTCAAATAATAAACAACTGGTTAAAATTTGGCGGATAAAGCCTCCTGTGGGCTGCACAAACTTGCCTTCGGGCAGGACGCCACTGACCACAACAGCCAACTATGTCAAAAAGAATATTCCCAAATACAATATTAAAAAGCAACATACTTGCATGGAATAACAGAATTTAATTTCAACCACAATTTACAAGCTTCTTGCTTTACTCGACGTGACACGTCTTCTTCCAATAGTTTCCATAACCCTTTTGTTAGAGGTTCTGCATATGGTATTGTTAACTGAGTACTGAATTTAGTGGATGTCAATGTACGAAGATGCATCAATGCAAGCGCAGGGTTAACATCAGCATGCAGAAGACCTGGAATAACAGTAACAGCATAAGAGTAATAGTGATCTTGTGTAGCTTTGCAGGAGGATATTCTCCTTTTGAAGATCTTGGTTAGAAGGTGAGTGTAACCCATCACTGTATGGAAGTGCAAAATGCTGGAACAGGAGATTAAATAACTTGAATTACCGGTAAGCAAAACTTGAATTAAATTATAGTTGCATGACATTTTATAAAACACTACATCACAAAAAGGCCCTGGACACCATGTGTTTGATAGCCGTAAAGAGTTTCGAGATCAATAGAGCCCATCTAATTTAATCAACCCTGATGAGTTGGGCATGAAACTTAAACATTTGGTGCCTAAGTCAGGCCCAATGTGACGATCTGAGTACCACAGTTAGACACATTTACACAAAAAATACCTTTATACAGCAAGTCTGGTGAAAACGAACTTTTCGTTTTGCCTAGTTCAGGCTGCCCTGTTTCTATTGACATGGATGATGTCACATCTAATTCCGAGATCCAGTCTTCAACCTGAATTTATATTATGATATATTATGAAATAGACATTTCTCAAACATAATTCCTAAAAATGGCATTGCTAACCCAAGAATTATTTGGTCAACAAAAGATCTTGATCTTTTGAAAGGTGTTACCGAACGGATTACATGCACGATCTCAACCTGTGCCATAGAATATTAATGAGAAGGCATTATTAGATTAGATACTAATCGGGCTTTGGGCATTGTGATAATAGATGAAACATGAATATAAGTGAAAGAGATGAAAGAATTTCATTAACATTTTCGTTTATCATCATCAACGGGAAGCAATTGTGATTTGAACAGAAAATACCGTCCTATGCAGTGGTCAGTGCATGAAATATCTACAACTAATTTATAAACTCAGTTACCTGACAGAGATGGGGAAGATGTGTAGCAAGTAGTCCAAGAAGAGCAGGATAAAGCCTATCACATGACTGTGGTTCAAGTTGGGCTCTGTGTAACAGTAGCTTAACAGGAATATTATTGATGAGACTGGATGGATATCGCTTAGGACCGCTTGGCAAAGTAACTGAAAAATAAATACATGTCATAATTGGTATGTTATCAAAGTAATAATCATTGGTTGAGCCATTTGCAGAATAACTTTTAGTGGCGCTAATCAAATTTACCATGCATGTCATCTTCTTTTATTTTCAATTGAATTCTCAACTTGTATATTAATTGTGACACTATACTTAACTCTTATCAAAAACCACTTATCAGTTATCATGTCTACTTTACAAGACAATTCAACCAAATTTTGATTTTGCAAATTCAAAAGCTTCAGAAGCGCGTTTCATAAATTGGATTATAAAACCTTCTATCAATGAACTTGGCTAATCGTGGAAAATAGTGGCAGAAATATTATATTATTTAATATATGATAATAAACCTACCCAGTGTTTTCATGTGATTTAATACGGAATCTTCATACAATAGAACATAATATAAAATTAAAAGTTGTGATGTGAGACTTGGTTCTTGAGTAGAGTCAGGTGATGTAGCTGTAGATCCATCAAGTGTTATTTTATCACTGAAAATTGACATTATCTCTTCTTCTGTCAAGGGATTGTTCAACATTCCTTTATCATGACCTTAAATTCAAATATTTATTTAATATTAATAATATTATTTTAAAAATCAAAATTTTAAAAATCAACTGGCAACATTCTAAACATTCTCAATATTGCTAAATTCTATATTAACCTACCTTTAGTATGTGGGGTTACTACCGTAGAAACATATTGTCTTATTAAAGATGGCAATTGAGGATGAAGTGGAGATGACGTTGTACATATTTGTTTGTAGATCCATTCCTGAAATTTAATAAGAATTGAATGTCGATAATGTTCATACAAACCTTGGGAGGTCCTATATAATATAAGGATATGAAAAAAACTTACTTTAATTGAGACTCTGCTCTTTGAGAAAGCTCTACTTTTAAGTAGTTGATAAACACAATGTAGGGGAAGGTATCCAGTCATCGTCGCATTCAGTGATTTAGTGACAGGAACATTTACTGCATGAGCTGCAACAACCTGTAAAAATATGCAACTTGAGATCAGGATAGCTTTTTTTGTTTATTTCATACAGTGGCAGTGACGATAATTAAATAGATAAGATAAGTATATATGCATGGGTTCGCTCGTCGCCATTGAGTGGTTCACCTAACCAGTGGTGGGATTCAAATTTTTTGTCAGCCGGTTCCTTCACAAAAGTCATATTTTTCAGCCGGTTCTGCTACAAACAGAACAACTGACAGTAACCAGTAATACTAGTCGGTTCGCTGATCTCATAAAATTCCGTGAGGCGGTTCTATAGCACCGGTGCAAACCGGCTGAATCCCACCACTGCACCTAACCGGAGGTCCATGCATCTGAAACAAATAACTGGCTAACTAATCCCACACTTAACTGGTATGTACTGGTAACCGCACGAGAGAGAACAGTTATTCATATGCTAGTCTTGCTAGACTGATACCAAGATGAAAATTCTCGGTAGCCATCTTTCCTCACCCTCGAGTATTTTTAAAAAGCCCACAGAATGTAAGAGTATATATAAATGAGTGAAGTATTCATATTGTATCAATAAATCACAAATAACATAGAAATGATAATTATGAGGCTTCACTGACTTGAGTGGTGAAAACTTCTTCTGTAAAAATTTGTCTCATTCTTGTGAGTGAAGACGTTGGAACTTTAATTCTCATTCCGAGTGTAGAACAAGCTAACTCAGCAACTGCATGACGTTGATCGCTGTGTAGATGAATTGCCATCAAGAGCAATTGCTCAGCAAAAGATCCCCCTTCTGGACCAGCACTATGAGTCACAAAAACGAAAAGATTACAGATTTTATAACTATTTGAGTTTGAAAATGAAACATCACAATTTAAAGAGTATCTGTTATTCATAAAGCTGCCTGCTTTCAAAATGGATTGAATAGAACTTGTTTTTATGTTCATTGTTTCGAAAAACAGGAAGAATCAGTGTGACAGTTATGCATTATCTTTACCATGTTCTTTTATTAAAGAAGACATAGATAACTAAAATATCATTAGAATACCCAATATAACTTTAAAGTAATACAGCCGTATATCGGTAGTTACTAGATACTGAAAAACAACATCCTATAAATACGAATAAATTCTTGCTGGAGAGTGGAGACGCTTTTATTGTCTAGTTTCAATGGAAAACTCTTCGATGAACAGAACCTCCTTTTCGGAAGCAACCTATGTTATGTTACCATAGCTTGTTAACAAAGAATAAACGAGAATATCGGTTGGAAACCGAAGACTTATCGATCGATAGTTAGGGGATCTCCCAAAACAGAAACTGCAGTTTCGATTCATCCGCTCTTGTAACTTGCGCACTGCGCATCGCACACACACACTCGGCGGGTTTCAAAATTCTCTCGCTTTACAAAAATCTAGATCACTATATCAATAATTGATTGATAACTCGCTAATTATACGACATAATTCGCCCAAAATCAATAGGATTCTGGTCCGAGATAAGATGAATGCACATGCAAAATCTGGAGCAGATTCAATCCCGCTTTCGTGAGATATCGCGTGCATCTAACAGACACACACACACACAGACAGACATACATACAAATACCTATCAATATACTTACCGATCTTAAGATCGATAAGTAACAAGGCCTGTAAATTCAGGTTTGATATAATGATAATGCAAAAACCAAAAGAAATATGAAACATAATGAGCTTACTTTTGGAGTTCTGAAGATCGGCTTGCAAGCCATTTAATCCAATTTATAGAACGTTTCTCTTTATCTTGATCCCTAAAAAACATATATAAGGTGAAATTGAAGATTATGAAGAATAGTACAATCCTCACCGTAAAAGCAAGTAGACTTACACAATCAAAGCAGAGCAAGCAAGCAACATACTCAATGAAAGAGACATAAAACGAATTCCTGCTGCTGTGAGAGGAGGAAAGCAAGTAATGAGGCGAAGTACTAAATCTGATTCCACTTCTGAAAACCTGAAACCAAATATAACTTATATAAATCTGAATACTCAAATTTGAATTTGAGGAGATGGGTGTAAAATAACATAACAATGAAAAAAGCCTTACTTGAGTCCTGCTATTGCTTTCAATGCACAGCATAGTCGAATCAATGTAGTTGCTCTTAGACATTGTTCTTCATTTAAAATACACATTGTTGTATCAATCAAATCATCTTCCATCATTGAATCTGTATTGACAAGAAGCAATGAGAAATATAGATGGGTTGTGAAGTTATAAATAGGGACAGAAATACATGGGAATATAGTGCTGAAGGTATTGTCAAATGGATTTAATAGCCCAAAGTAGCATGAACATCTTTTTGAAAAATACCAATCGGATTAAATAAAACTTAAATGTTTAATAATAAAGCAGATAGAATCAAAACGATTTAAAACCACAATACCTTGTCTTAATGAGGAGTCTAGAGTAGATTCATTCATTATTTGAGAGGATACAACTATAGTCCGTAGTTCTTTCTCTAGTTCTTTTCGTAAATAGTTTGGGTGAATCTGGGAAGAAAAACTATCAATTAAAAACTGCAATGTCATCAAGAGTGTAATTTGAGAGCCAAAACACTTTTTATGACACAATTATTAGGCTTCATCCTTCGCTTCATACCCTACAAAGAGGCACTCAGACATAAAAAGCTACTCACTTTGTAGTTCTGTCATTCAGTATACTGATTTATTAACTAGGGTGGATGGAGTATGAACCCGGCCTAAATCTTTTTGTGAGAAATTGGGTAAAGAATTGGGGACATAAGTAGTATAATATATATGCTATTAATATTATTTTTCAAACTCATCATCGATAGAAACGTCCTATCAAATATCTGGCTGATATATATTTCAGATATAATAAGTGACAGTCAAAACATGCAAACAACCAAATTTCCTTACACCACATTGAACAGCATATAAAGAGTTCAAGTCGAGTCTCCCAAATTGTTCGAATTTATAATCAAAGCTTGAATGAAGTTCTTCAACCATAGTCAGAATTGAATACAAAAATGAACAAATGAATCTTACAATATACCCATTATTGATAGTCTGAATAGTACTTACATCTTGAGAGCTTTTGATATATGAAGCAAACCATGATCTAATTTTAGCATTGCTGCCAAGAAGAAGACCACTGACAAATGTTACTAATTCACTGACACGTCCATCACTCATTGTGTAAGATCCCATGATATGATTAAGTGTAAGTGATATTGCTAGGCTTGGCAATTTACAATATTGAACCTGGAAAATTGAATATATTATCCAAGGCAATTCAACTTCTAGACCCAATAAAACATGAGACCTATTTTAAATGCCTCGCCATTTGTTGAGCACTAAGGTGCCATAATTGGAGGATGGAAACATGTGTAATGTTATGTTTTTTCAAAAAATGCAAAATTATAAACAAAATAGCAGGACCCACAGACTACTGAAAGTGATTGTACCAGTAGTTGAAAAGAATTTAATGTTTTGTCACAACAACAATAATTTAGAAAAAAGGGTCCATGTGGTGCCGATCTTGTGTCCAGTAATAAATATAATATGCTAGTATTTTGATAAAAGATGGGATAATGACAAATATGATGATGTTTATTATTTGAATTGGTACAAGCGAGATTGTGAATCGCCGCCATCTTGATTCTTTGTTTATTTATTAATCCATATTTTTGAAATGCAATTATTCATAAGAGAAAAAGAAAAGAATGCTATTTATCAAGACCAACAGCATAATAACGCAACGATCCACATGTAGACTTTGTATTCAATGAAAATTCATCCAACATAGATTTGATTAATCAATTGTAAACCCAATACAATTTGTCATAGAAAAGCTATCAGGCATATTAAGGTAAAAATACTTGGGATTACTTACAGTCAATGCTCTAATATTAGAAGCAATATCTGGTTTCATGGAGCAAATCATTTCGATACAACTTTTTCTTCTTTCCTCAATGCATTTCATGCTTGACTTTGACTGTGATATGTCATTCATTGTATGATTTTTAATAATGCATTGACAAACTGGTAAAATTGAAGCAGGATTGTTTGCAAGCTGTAAAATATGAATATATTGAAACCAAATTTATCAAAGCAAGGAAAAGAACTCCAACCAGCTCATGCATAAAAAAAAATAACTTGTCGCTAGGGATATTCAGAACGAATAGATTATCGAAATAAATTCAAAATTCATTATATTAAATATAGTAAATTTTTTATTCAAAATTAAGGGATTTTTAGCAGTCGGACAATGTATCAAATGTTCGATATCTCAACTGGTAAGTAACGACACAGCAAAAGCAATGACCTTTTATATTTATGCTGTTTTAGATGTGATCAACATGAGAACAATATAGTGATTTATGTAATTTTTCACATGAGCGTATTTAAAATGTATTCAATATTCCATATTCAAAACTATTTTCTCAGAATGTATTCGAAACAGTAAAAGACTTGGTTTTGGCCATCATTGCTTATCGCACATCGAAGATAGACTGTTATTTATTAGATGATGAGCCGCCATATGACTGAGTCAGTCGTATTGCATGCCTCACTTGATAATTCAAGAATCACATGAACACTTCATGTTCACATTCAAATGGAAGCACCAAAAATACACGGAGTTATCGGACAACTTACTTATCTAACAAGTACCGGTAGGTTTAGAAATCTGGAATTGCATTACAATCATCTTGAATGTCCTGCATATAATAAATGATACTGAAAGGCAAAGATTTTGACAGAGTTCAAATAACCATAGCTGATGGAAATATCAAAAGTGATCTTACCAATTTACATAAAACCTTTCCTCCATTGGGAACATACATCAGTGCTTCTGCCATGTCCAATATATTTAATAATGTTGGCAATTCTAACAAAACAGAAATAAATACTTTGCTAAAAATTTCACTTCATATTAGAGGTAAAGCTATGTTAAACTTTATTCATACGGGAATATGGTATACACAATCAGTATGACCATTGCAAACATCTATAACAAGGTATTCCAAATTTACAACATCAACAATAAAATAAAATTTACACAAGGTTAAGAACTTTTGCACCCAAATATCGCTTGTTTCTTATTTTACCTGCGACTGCAATACAAAGAACATCAGAAACAACTTGAAGATAAGCAATACAACTAAATAACTCAGATTTTGTAGCAAATCCATCATCATCTAAGACTAATGATTTTGATCCTTCACCTGTTTATGAAGAAATATGGCACCATAAAATTATCAAATTTGTATTTAATAACTAGCCTACAATACATATGACCTTAAGATAAATTTATAATTGATACTAGGAAAGCATTTGCCCTCACAGTGGTAAAATTGAAATGAGTATATCGATTATTTTTATATATAAGTTACCCCCTGAATAAATTTCATATTAGGCAATGATGTTTTCTATCAATTGAGAAAAAGGTTAAGACGTAGTGCATCAGGCATAGCAGCAAAAATTCAAACATTCTGATAGTTTTGTTATAATCTTGTAACCTGAATTTGAAAATGCAACCAGCAATGGCATAATATCTGAAATCAGTAAACGCAATTTTCGAGCAGGTTCACTCCTTTCAAATTCTAAGATGAGACCATGTTTTTGGAGATTGGATGTAATTAGACTTCTGCCTCCAGTTGTAATTTTTTGCCTATAAAACAAATTAACAGAAGTTATGCCTTTCTTGAAAATCTTACATAGGCCTATATCATAAATTAAGTGATGTTAAAATTTTCGAAAGGTAGTATTCAAAGTTAAGCATATATAAAGCTTCGAATTATCCTCATATCACAATTAAAACGTGCATGCCAAAATCTCAAAGAAACTTTTCTTGTATTAGTCAAAGTTACTTGTGCAAAATATTACAGTTGTATTTAATGATAGTTATGCAAATATTTCTATTTCCAACACGATTGGAACTAATTGACTTTGAGAAAACTAGCATGAAAATATTCCACTCCCACTATATTTTTATACATGAAGAATGATAATGATTGGTTATGTGTAGAACTAGGCATTTTAAATTGAGTATTCAAATGAAATAGTAAATTATTTGAATCGGTTCAGGCGAGAATTGTGAATCGTCGGCATCTTGTTTGTGTCCACCCAAAGAATATGATGAATCATTCATTTTTTTATTTATTGTGCCATATTTTTAAAACACAATTGTGACATATGACTCTTTTTGCCTGAGTAAGTTATTGATGAAGCATGTTTCTTGTGCGTGAACTCTCATCAACTGTCTGAGTGATAGATTACATATTTTCGAAGTAATCAAAACTCGATTTCAAATCATCAGATACAGTTTTCGAAAATGCCCAGACCCAGTTATGAGACTAGTAGAAATTTTACAAATGGCAATCTTACTAAAAGTAACACAAAGTTGAGTTTAAAATTCTGGAAACAAAGTAATGAGGTTAATATCAATGTTTGGTGATAGTGATGGTTGAAATGTAAACATATGCATAAAAAATAGGAGAATAAACACCTTGTTTTTTGTTCTGTTTTAGCATCAATTTCTAAAGCATGAAAATCAACAGATAACAGAGCGACAATGTCATTGACATCTTCTATTCCTGATAATAACTGCATTAGATCTTTCTGATTTTCTTCCCATCTAAGATAAAAAATATTGAAATGAATTTTTAACTAACTCAGTGTTAGATAATATCACAATTAGAATGTTTTATGAACTTTAAGCAAAGATACATACGATATATGCCTAACAACGATTTCAATTTAGATAAGCTATTTGCGTTTTTACTTGTATATAACAATACATGCGAATGCCGAAAGACAATTCAAATTATTATTGCATTTGAACAGCAATTTCTCAATAATCGATATTTATACTAAAAACCGAATAGGAGAGTAAGATGGGAATGAATATTCGAGCATTTTTATAAATTTCTTGAATAAACAAATTTAAAAAAATATATTCACATCTTCATATTTTACCTCCATGTTTTGTCCAATGAAGAACACAACAGCATGCGACTGAGAGAAGGTAGCAAAGGTCTGATGGATGAAACAGGATTTTGTAATAACGTATTAATGTCAAGATTTGCATATGCTTCCAATATTTCAGGAGCTATATTGGCGAGCATGATTTTTTATTTTTCTTCTAAAATGCACATATGAAAACTACAATATCTTCTATGTAAATCTAAATAAATATAAAGGTTGCTTCAAATTTAAATGTTTATTATTCTGTTTTATGTTATTGAAAACTGTGGTCTTGTTAATGTATAAGAGGCTCATAGTACCACTCTTTGACTCTTTCATATGTACCGTACTCGACAAGTTGGAGAAGATGGGAATCCAAATGTGTGTTAGTTTGCAATATAATAAATTATGCCAGTAGATGTATAGGGGGTTCAAGTTAGTGTAGTGTTTGACAACTTTCGAGTAAATTATATGCTATCGAATTACAAGCATGGCTTAACTACACTAAACCTGTAAACCAAGCAACTGTATCAAGAAGTCTGCGAATAAAAATACCATAATTTAGATGGGCATATCATAGACTGTTTTATTTGAAACCTGTGTTACATAATAAAACACACACACGAATATGGGGTTTAGTGAAGTAAATGCTGTGACTGCTCAAATAAAGCCAAACAAAAATATGTGAAATTTTAATATGATAAAAAAAAAGTATTCAGCTTGAAGTGACGCTTGAGAGACCCTGTTGACAAACAAAAAGTTCAAACACACAAAAAATTAGTCAATCTGGTTGATTGAGGTAATCAGAGTTAATAATAATTTTGGCGTAATTCGTCCATAGTGAGTTTTTCGCGGTTTACTATTGACCAGCAAAGTCAAGTAGCCTAGCTTAGCGTCTTAAGTGATATGCAGGATATGGCATGCAGAATTTGTTGATCTCTCAAAAGTCTTAAGAAAAAGGGCCGTATGACGCAAAAAAAAAATTATTGAAATAAGCGTTTAGTTCAAATCAAATCTACTCAATTTCCAGCCAAGCAGGTATGTCCCATGCAGTTTAGAGACACATTTATTTTAAAAAATAAAATTTGGATGGTGTTTTCACATCCTATTTTTTTTAATTGGGTTATTTAATCACTTATAGCCTAGCATTCTTTTTCACACCACATTTGTGTTTGGTGATCTTTATGCAGTTGCGGGCTTACGGCGTTTACTTCGCGAAACCCCAAATATGAAATATAGACGTCTGAAGGACAAGCAAATACTTATTTTAAGTTTTAATCACGAAGAATATCGGCTACCGTTTGATTATTTCTGAGCATATTGTCTTGCGTTTATATATGCTGCGAGTTTTCATTTCACAGTTTTGTAGGGGAAATTACCACGTCAATTTATGGCACAGCATCAAAAGAATGTACCTAAACACAGTCTAAACGGGTTTTAAAATCATTGTGGTGCTATTTGTCATCCTCACAAGTAGAGCGTATTTATAAAGTTTAATATAACCCTGCATGTCGTACTGGCCAGTGCGGAACGACACGTGCAATGTTTTGTTACGCTTTACTAGTTATTTCATCATTCATTTCGTTCGCGTCCGCGTCGTATTGTCGGAGTAACGTCGGCCCGATCTTGATTAACCCATAACAAATACTACGACGACTTTTTTCTGTAAACTGCGTTGCATGTCATTCTAATTGTGCTGATTTTTAGCGTTTGTATGAATATTAGAAGAACATTTTTTTCCGTGAACGTAAAAGATTTGGCGAAGGGTTTGAAATTTGGTCCAGCAACTAATTTACAAAATTGTTTGCTGCGTAAAAATCAGCAACGGAATTCGCTACTGTTGAATTGGGAAAGATATTTTGCGTCCCCAACTGCTCGGGTGAGACCCGTTTTATTTTGTTATACTGTCTTTATACAAAATAACCGTCTAATTAGCTATAACAGTCAGACAGTAGGCAATTCTGCAATAACGAACTACTGAACTAAGCAGATAAGTTTGCAAAATACCTACCGTACGGTACCTTCGAACCTTGCCATATTTTGTTAATTTCCTGATTTCAATAATACCTACTGTAATATCAAATAGTAGTCTATCTATGCTATAGGGCAGATATAATTTTTCTTTTACTCCATAATCAGCATACTGACATAAATACCAGGCAATATAAAATATTATCCAACCTGATTTAGGTACTGAATTACAGAAGAGTAAACAGAACAAAAAAGTTTTTTTCTCACAGAAATGTATTGTTCAGTTGTTAAAGACAGTGCCGTGTGTTGATTCACCTAAAATTTTGTTAAAAGTTGTTGATTCATATCGAAACATATAGATTGAAGTACCGTATGCTAACCTTACAACTTCATTTGGTTCACTGATTCCTGGATTTTGTAATTGCGTTGTGCTAAGCCTGAAAGCATTAGGAATACGCTTTCCATCACACCTCTGATTACCCCGTGGGAGTTACTCTGATAATAATTGTGATTCTCATACCGAACATCCATGGACTTTGTAACCAGACAAGAAGCCCTAGATGGCAATAGGATTTTCAACTTCCCTAATCCTAATTGCTGAATTTTTAATAGCATCAGATTGCAGATTTAAAAAGTTTAATAGTCTCGTTGAAAAAATAGTTTTAAACGGCGTATTCTAATTTCTCCTATTTGTCTGACAATTCACTGATTTTGACGTGAATTATACAGTTATATGTCCGTACTTCAGTACAGCACACTATTCAAATTTCAAGAGTTTCCCTCCATTTGGCTTAATAGAACAAACACTCTATGTGTCTCACAAACGAGGGGCGTCTGGGACCATGTCAGATGCTTCATATCGTGCCATGCTTGTCCCAATAAAAATCTAAGTTAATCGTGGCCGTCACATGACCGAAATTGCCGTTTTTTGCTAAAACTCTTGAATGCTACAGTAAAATTTTTTTCCTTCGGTAAATGGGATTATTTTTTCCCAAGGAATTCAATGATGACGTTACTAAAGTGCGCTTTTCTGTAGTATTTTGCGCAACTTCATTATACTGTATTATTACCGATATTGAGGGACAACAATGTCCAGACGTCTCCCAAAGAAGGGGTGTCTGATAATCTGTAAAATGGGTTTCTCTGAAACGGGACAATGTCACCCGATTTGTATAGTGTGCCGTACTGTACTTGAACACTATTACAGTATAATGTTTTGATTGGTATGCTTTATTATTATATTTTTTCAATCAGGTTCCGAAGAAAAAATTAAAAGAAGCTGAACTGCAACTAAGATTAAAAGAACAAGAGATTTATCGAAAGAACTTAATAAAACATTTGTCTCCAGATATAAACGAAACAATGGATGAAATTGAAATGGAAAAACAAATGCAACCACTGCGACACTCAGTCAAAGAACAGGTCTGTTCAACTCCTCTTCTTTTAACTGTGTGTTTTAAGTCTTTGCTTTTGAATCATGTACTTTTTGAACCATATTTTAGTGAGGATTGGTATTATATTTATCATATTAAAGCATTGTTTTACAGGGTGACATTGTACGATCATTAAAAGAAAGCAATGCTGCTGTTGTTGATTTACAACAAGCTATCGCAGAGTTGAAAGTACGAAAGAGAAAACTTCAAGAAAAGGAAAATGAACTTGCATCCAAAGAACAGTTTCCAAGAAAAGTTTTTGATGATACTATCAAAAGAAGATTCTTTTATGGACAAGCATTTGAATTATATGGGGGTTTGTATGAATTAAATCAAAATGAATTTGGACACGGTGCTTTTTTTCTGTGCTGAAGTTTATTGTGCTTAAATGCTATGTTCTGTTCTAGTTTAATGTTTCATATCATGATTTGATATATCTATCTTTATTAGTTAGCAATGAAATGCCACCCAAGTACATTGGATATCAATATATCTGCATTGCAGAACAATAAATTTCTTGGTTTTCCACCATATTATTTCATCTAGGTGTCAGCGGATTATATGATTTTGGGCCAGTGGGTTGCATGTTGAAGAATAACATGATTGCAGAATGGAGGCAACATTTTATAATGGAAGATCAGATGTTGGAAATTGACTGCACAATGCTAACACCTGCGCCTGTTCTCAAGTAAATAATCTTTATTATAATCAGTGGGGATTTGCATTGAATAAATCTAGGCAGCGAAATATATTGTTTGAAGAATGAATATGTTTGATAGTATAAAAAAAAATTCATATTTTTCATAATAATATTCTTTTATACGATTTCAGAACTTCTGGTCATGTTGAAAGATTTGCTGATCTGATGGTAAAAGATGTGAAAAATGGTCAATGTTTTCGTGCCGATCACTTGTTAGAAGGTCATTTAGAAAAATTGTGTGAAAGCAAGAAAACTTCAGAAGAGGAGAAAGGAAAGATGAAAAACATTATGAATCAGGTCATTGTCTACAAAGTGTCTTTACTTGCTATACGAGCAGCCACGATAGGCCATGATATGGCCATATATGCATTGCCTATTTGCCTACTCAGTTCATTGCATCATGGGTGAAAGATAGATATAACCAGATATTTTCATTCTCTACTGCCAACATGATTATGTTGACTTTGATCGCAATACTGTATTGTGCATCTGTGAGTTGGTATGTTAGCACTCATTTTTGACTACAAACACTTTTGGCCATCTCTACTGTTGAATGATTGACTCAATCGACTAAGGATCCATTATCTATATTTAGCACCTCCATTACAAACCATGTCCAAATACCATAAAACTAGTTGACTTTTTATATAATTGATAAAGACCCACACCAGATGAGACGCAATAGTTTTCCATATGTTCAAGCTGCCTTTTGTTCTTTTCTCTAGTGAGATAAACATGAAATTATTCTTTGTAGTTAACTGCACATTTTATTTTGATTCAGCTGTAATATTGGCATTAAATATTCACATATCAAATGGAATCCGGGCTGATCCCATTTTCAATAGCATGATTCTTTCGCCAGATTAAAATTCTAACTTTTTTCATATTGCAGATTGATAATTACGGAAAAGAAGAACTTGGGAAACTAATGACAGAATATAAAGTGAAATCACCAGTATCTGGAAATGATGTTTCTGAACCACTTGAGTTCAATCTGATGTTCCAGACTGACATTGGACCTGGTGGAGCAATTCCAGGGTATTTTCTGTTGCGTATTTTTATTGGTTAAAATGAAAAGAAACTAAGCAAAACATCTGTGTGTTACAAATACTCTCATTTACTTTTGCAGGTACTTGCGGCCAGAAACAGCGCAAGGTATCTTTCTCAACTATAAGAGATTACTCGAATTTAATCAAGGGAAATTACCCTTTGCTGGTGTTCAAATTGGAACATCGTTTCGAAATGAAATTTCACCAAGATCTGGACTTATAAGAGTTCGGTATGTAGGTCTTTATTTTATACAATGAAAACAAACAGAAAAACCTCATATTGTAATTCAAAATAAAATTACTGTCTTAAATTCATTCTCGCCAAGTTGGAGACTCAATATTCTGTTCTGTGATATCATATGCTACGTCTATTCTAAAAAATGTTTGTTTATATATAAAAATGTATTGTCACCTTCATTCTCATTTGTAGAGAGTTTCCAATGGGAGAGATTGAACATTTTGTTGATCCATTGAACAAAAATCATCCTAAATTCACATCAGTTGCAAATCTAAAAGTTATGATGTATTCAGCAAGAGCTCAATTGAGTGGTGAAGCAGCTAGCATGCATAACTTAGGAGATGCAGTCAAGGAGGTTTGTATTGGAAGACTATGAATGTTTTTCAAATAGCAACTGTCATCTTCTATTTCCTTGTGCTTGTGTTAAACATTCATTGAACCCTTTTGTTTTTTAATGATTTCATTATCTATGTGGTCTCACATATTTCTATGTGTTTCTTTTCATAAGAGGTTTCAGAAATACCAGAAAGAATTTAATGATAATATGTTTACTTGTATAGTTTGTGAATTTAATTCCAGTGTTTTTTCAATAAAATGATTGAACTAACAGCTACTCGAAATGTGAACATTTTGGCTTAGGATACCAGAATCGCTTGCCAGTATTAACAGTGGATCTTAATTTAAATTGCAAGAGGCCCTTCAATGAATAAAGTTTGAATGTAAGAAGTCTCAAATCAGTGTCGTTCTTGATATACTTCCCAACTTTGTGCGATGTAAAGTTATGCAAAGTTGTTATACAAAATTGACACCATGAGGTTTCCAAGTCATTCATGTTGAAAAGTATTTGATGCAATGTTATCACAGTTATATTTACATTATTAATCACAACAATGTTTATATCGATTTTATTGATGTTTTGATTTTCAGGGTATAGTAAATAATGAGACATTGGGATATTTCATGGGAAGAATATATTTATTCTGTATGAAGATTGGAATTAACCCAATGAGATTCAGATTCAGACAACATATGGATAATGAAATGGCTCATTATGCTTGTGATTGTTGGGATGCAGAATGCAAAACGTCTTATGTAAGCAGTAGTAATAGATTACTTTTCAGGACATTCTCTCAGTTTACTGTTCAATTCTTATAAACATACTATTTTTTCAGCACTTTCATTATGCTTTCTCGTAAGTGTTTGTGATTGTCAAATTTTCTATTTTGAGTTGATGTAATTTCATATCTAAGATGTCATAACTTGTATCAACATATCTTGAAAGAATTTAGCTTAGGTTATTACTAAAATAAATGATTTTTAAAAAATTTCATTACAAGAATACAGATAATCGTAATCAAAATATTATTGCAAAAAATCCTGTTTTTTTTCCAAATTTTAAAAGTGAAATTTTGCATGTAACATGGTTTTTCTGCTTAGGAGATCATTTTGGAATATTCGAAATTAAGAAGAAGCGTAGATTTGAATTCTATAGCAGACTATATCTGCTTGGAAATAAACACTAATTTTTCTGTGTTTGTATATTATGTTATGTATTTTGTGTAACAGGGATGGATTGAATGTGTTGGATGTGCTGACAGATCATGCTATGATTTAACTTGTCATGCCAAAGCAACAAATGTTGATCTTGTAGCAACACGACCACTTGATGAACCTATATCCTTTTTCCTAAACTTTAAAATTACTTATCATTATTGCTCTCGTAATTGTTTCGAAAAAACTTATGAAAGTAAAACATTACAGCTGTTAACAATTTGAACTGTGTTTTCGAGTTGGTATGAAAATACATATTTTTTTGTGTTTTTATTAGCAAGATGAGTCAACTTAGTTATTCAAAGCTCAAGTTATACATCTTTTTTTGAAATCACATCACTTTAATATATGTGCGACTACAATAAAATTGAAGTATATTTTTGTTAGAAAATTTGAGTAATTCTTTTGAAAACCTGAACCCTATAGATGTATTGATGATTTTGTCCAAATAAAGTTTGTAGCCGTATTCAATCATTTATCAAATATATTACAACATTTGGATTTTTTTCTTAACTCGTTTCATACAAAGTAGTTGAAGTATTGGAAATGATTCCAAACAAGCAATTGATCGGAAAAAATTTCAAAGCTGAAGCAAAAGCCTTGCAATCATTATTATCAAATCTTGACAAAGAAGCAATCAAAAATCTAGAAAGTAAACTTGAAGCTGATGGGTAAGATCTATTATTTAAATAATGTTTAGAAAAATATAAATTTCACTGGGTTAATGAACATGGGAATGTTTTATGCAAGTTCGTAAGTCATTCATCAGCACTTAGAGACATAAATTAAATGAATACTGATGCTTGATATAATGATATTCACATTATACAGTATTTCAACGAAACATATTTATTAGATCAATATCCAGTATCCGGAATTGGGATTTACATGGTTTCAACTTATGTAGTATAATTAGCTGTCTAATACAATAGGATGATGACTTACAGATGCGGTTCTAGGTTGCTGCCGTACAATCAATTAATAAACCCATACATTTATTTCATATCATTACCATACACATAAATCCTAGATTTTGTTGACAAAACAACATGTTTTGTCACATTTAAATTTGAGTTTCAAAATTCTTAAAACCCAATTTTTTTAATAGCATTATTTCATTTGAACTCAATTCTTTATCGTTTTTATTATTTTTTTCATTGCTCAGTGAGACAATTTGAGTCAAATGCGAGCGATCACATGTTATTGAATACAAATTTTTTGTAAACCGAAATTGCAGGATTTTCCACGAACTTTTGTATTATTTGACAGATATTCGTGCAATACTCTTATTTCTAGATCCTATGATTTAAATGATTGTGATGGGAAGCTATTCAGAATCACTAAAGAAATGATGAAATTCAAGAAATCTTCAAAAACTGTACAGGTTAGAAGACAATTTTAAACTTAAATATGATTAGGTTTGCATGAAGTATTCTTGAGTTTTGATTTCCCTACATTTGTTATTTCATAGGTGGAAGAATTTGTTCCTTCAGTTATCGAACCATCTTTTGGATTTGGTCGATTACTCTACAGCACATTAGAACATAATTTCAGGATACGTGCTGCAGATGAACAGAGAACAGTAAGATGTTTAATATGTGATTAACTGGGGCTCCCGAAGTATGCGAACCAAGATGGCGGACATTGGAATGTAATATGTGTACTAGGTTAGGGTTAGGCCATAATTTTAGGTATAAATACTTCGGGAGGCTCTTGGCTAGTCTTAGAACTGATAATAGGACTAAAATTAGGAAAATTGGAAAAAAATTATCGCCTAACCCTAACCTGTTACCCATGTTACGTTCCGATGTCCGCCATCTTGGTTCGCATACTTCGGGAGCGCCGATTAACTTATATGTAGAATGTGAATACATTTTTGGAACAGATCATTCTTAATGATATCAAAACAAGCATATTTGAATTGATCTGTAAATAATTGGGTTCAGTACTCCGAATTCCTAATTTTTTGATTCTAGGAATTATTTAGTACAGTTTTTATCTGAAAGTCTCACAATATTACCATAAAGGCCTTATTGAAAATAGGGTACTCGTTTAGTATGTGAACCAAGATGGCGGACACCGGAGCGTAGCATGTGTACCAGGTTAGGATTAGGTCGTAATTTTCAGTTACAAATTCTACAGGAGTCACTCGGCTAATCCCCGAACCTGTAATAGAACCAAAATAAGGAAAATCAGAATAAAATTATGTCCTAACCCTAACCTAGTACACATACTACATTCCAGTGTCCACCATCTTGGTGCACATACTATGGGAGCGCTGAAAAAAGTTCCCAAAATGTAAAAACTGGAAAACCAATTAGATCACCGATTATCTGTATATCATCTCTATTTTAAAAACAAATTATTACTGTATATTTGTCTTAATTAATGATTCCCAAAACTTTTAAATTCCACTTCGATTTCTACTATACTCTTTAGAAGCATACAAATTTTATCTCATTCTTTGTCTCCACATCTCTGGCTATGACAACGAACTATATGCTCATTATATTTGGCATATTTCTATTTAGCTTGCTACTGCTTGCTATCTGGATGCCTCTAATCCAGGGGTCACCAAACTTTTTTGTCTGCGGGCCAGGTATGACTCAAACTGTGTTGAAACGAGCCGGACGAATATTTTTGTCAATGCAATACAATAAATTCTCAAAAGTTTGGAAATCAATTCAATTTATTCAACAATATAAATTCTACATTTCTGAAGACTTGAATATCAAATTCTATATTGCAGAATATAGATTGAGAACATCATAGTAAAACAAATATACAATATTTCTAGACAACTATCCTGAGGTTAGATGTTAGCAAAACATTGCTGCATAGCCGCATGTAAGCAGTACAAAAGTTAACGTGACTTGTGAAGTTGGAGCAGTACACGAGAGATTACAGTACTATTAGTGCAAAATGCACGATCATTGTTCATTTTAGCATAAGAAACGAACCAGTAACAGTTTCGCCGAAAGCATGTGCCAAGAGTACATCTTTCGCAGAATATGTTGCGTACCGATAGAGAATTTAGGCCTATTATATCACAGCTATTCCTAGAATAATTTTGGATTACTGCAATTACACTACAACTTCTAAGAAGGCAAAATGATGATTGACTAGGGCTGAGCATTTATGCACACCTGGTAATTTCAGAATCGAATCTTGAATACAGTACTTGGAAATATATAATCGCAAACGACTTTTTTATTGTAATTGTTCCTGTCAACAAATGAATTACTGAAAACATAGAATAAATCACTCAGACAGATTACTGAGTGTTTCATACAATAAGAAACACGTTTTATCAATAGCTTCCTACAGAAAATAATTATATTTCAGGATTGCATTGAAAAATTTTGGCTTCACCTCGACCATTAGCGGGAAGAAACAAAACAAGATGGCAGCAAATCAAAATTTTACTCTGAACCGATTCGAAATAATTTACTATTCGATTCGAAATGCCCAGCCCTATGATTGACTTATTTGATTCATACTTAAATTACCGAAACACAACCAAAAACTAGTGAGTTCCATTCAACATCACAAAAACGAGGTCTTGTTTATAACTACGACTGTAAATCTGTCTGAGTGGATGCGAAAGGGCTTATTGTTACGCCACTTTTTGCATCTTGCTGATTGGCCAATGTTAAGAAATAAACAAGGAAGTCAATTCTTGTGAAACATCTCTTGGAAAAAAAATTTCGGACAAAACTTCGTTCATGTTATTTCGGGCCAGATGAAAGGACGCCGTAGTTTGGTGACCCCTGCTCTAACCAATACTCCTGTAATACTGATGCAAGTGTATTTAAGTATTATATTTTTATTTTACAGTTTTTCTCGCTACCTCCCCTCATATCACCATATAAGTGTTCTCTACTTCCACTGAGCAATAAAACAGAGTTCGATCCATTTATAAGAACATTGTGTAAGTTGTAATTATGCTTACGTGAAATATCTTGGGAGGATATATGCTAGTGATATTAGGTTAGGTTTTGTTGTTCCTATATTTTATTCAACTTTACAATCAATTCATAATTGTGATTATGTCATTGTTCAGATTAAGTTGTTTTAATCAAGGATGTTCTCAAAAATATTCTACATAATATTATAAATTAATTCCCACTGGAAACTGGTAAATCTTATAAATCAGATGATAGATCGAAATATGTGTAGTCAAGTGCAAACCTGTTATAGACAGCATCAACTGAAGCAATAACTATATTCTGGATTTGAGACAATTTCTTATTTTTGTAAGCAAATATCAAATTAATATATGAGGTTTCCATGTAGTACCTCTTTTGTTGTTAGTTTATATATTCATTTTTTCATTGTTTTATTCAGTATTTAACATTTTCTTATTTGCAGCTGAGCTTTTAACGAAACTTGGTGTTTCACATAAAGTTGATACTTCATCTGGTTCCATTGGCAAACGTTATGCTAGAACTGACGAAGTTGCCATACCTTTTGGAATCACAGTTGATTTTGATACAATCAGAATGGAACCACATACTGCCACTCTACGTGAACGAGACACACTAGTTCAAATTAGAGCTAAGGTAAGATCAAATCCCCCACAAATTACCAAAAAACATTGTGTCACTGATTCAGCTAAAATCATGTCAAATCTGAGGTTTATCAATAGTACCTATTGTAAACAATTATTGTATTAAAATGTCTTTGTTTATTATGTATTAGCGTATTTCTCCATTACAAGATAACTGTTGACATAATCTAGTATACTGCAATAAATTGACTAGTGGCTACCAAAGTTGAGTTTGAGTCACCTTTTATTAATGACTCATCGCTCGGGGGTTTGTCATCAGCTAACAGCCAGTCAAATTTGACCCAGTGATTGATTCGAGGTTGGAATGATCTTTGACTGAATGACTGGGGCTTAGAGACTCTTACCCGACACTGGTGACTTATAATTTATTAGCATTAACAGAATGTTTTTTTTTTCTTTAGTTTGATCAAAGTTTTAAACAGATGTTTTTTAAATTTAAGCTTCTACCTACCTACCCTAGTTCAAAGTTTTGCAAGACAAACTGTTCGTATCTAACAATGATTTCTTATTTACAGATTGAAGAACTACCACAAATTGTTGCAGATCTTTCGAGCGGTGTGACAACATGGAAAGAAATTATGGATAAATATCCATTGTTTGAAGAACAGCAAACAAAATAGAAAATCACCTGTGTATAAAGTTTTTGCAAATGTGTCTAAATTTTACTATTGACTGAATATTTATTGTAGGGTGTTAGTTATAGTATGTAATAGTGCTGGGTTGGTTTAGCTTAATTAGTACATCGCAAAATGAAACAATCATGGAATGATGACCCGAATAATTGCTGTACATGATGCCGCACTTCTAACAGTTCTTTGAATTTGAATATTTGTATTGTTCTTGTTTATGAAGCAGTTGTTTACTTTGTCTCAAACTATGAACTTCTTATTATTTGCCATGTTGTGTTAGGATACATTTAGCTCTATCTGTACTCTCTCGAATAATACATACAACCATCAACACCCATCCAGAATCTCTCAATCTGTAGGTTAAAATTATTCTAAGCTTTTCCATCCTGATACTTAAGATTGTTCGAACAGCACTGAAACATTTATTTTTACCGTGAGCACTGAACTTTCTGAGCGTGGTGTTTTGACTTTTTAAGTCTGGCCGCAAAGCGGAATGTATGTTGTATTATCCTATCTTGAACGATGACACTGACTAAAGATAAGACTAAAACTATTTTGCAATCATGGTTGTAATTAACAAATGTTTATGTTCATGACAAATAGAAGTAAAAATCAAAAATGTGAATCTTTTGTCGAGTTTTTTGGAATTATGGAAGGCGCAAGTAGAATCCTAAAAGTGCGTCACGTGTTCACTACCAGAATTCCGTTTTCCTTCATCGTTTTTCCTGAAAATGCACCGAAACAAGGCGCGGTTGCGCGTCCCTCTACATTCTGAAAAAACGTTCATATTGTTATCGAGTAGACGTAAGGTATAGTTATTGTTGCGAAAAGATTTATTTCAGGAGGTACGTTCTCAAAAATTCATACAATGTATTACGTTGCAGGTAAGGCGATATGTGCGACATTTTTTCAGGTGTCGCCAAAATGTCGTGTCCCACTCGACAAGTGGGACACCACATTTTGGAGACGCCCCATTTTTGCTATGTTAGGAGTAATATGAAATGTTTTTAATATTAACGGGAATGCGAGCATTCGAATTGAGTTGTATTAGAGCTTGAAATGATGGGAATACTATGGTTCATCTCGCACTATTTTCTCCACATAGAATAAAGGCTTGGAACTTTTGAGAATAGTATGCCATCTCTACCAAGAGTCTTTGTTTCTTCGGCCATTCCTCGGTAATTGTAAAATTTGCGATACCCCATTATGTCTCGAATGCGACCAAAACAATAGTAATCGATTGTATGGAGTTGTAAAGGAGATACTTACAAGCGCTATGGAAAACTCTTGGATACCTCAAGTAATGGAAGCACTTGATTTAATCTGACAAGTGTTCAGTTATAACCGCCATCAACCATATAAATGTAGAAGTACACAAGTTTTGCGGTAGAAAACACACGACTGTTTAAAAACTATATAGGGGAAAGTGGGGAAGGTTGGGACACTTTTTTTCTTTTGCATATTTTGAGCCGTTAATTCTGCATATTCTCTTAAGTTTGCGGGACTAATGCATAGAGGGGTAAATGTAGTTTTTATTCAGCAACAAAGAAATTCCCTTGCGACACACATCTTACTACCAAAATGCTTTGAAAAACGTCTGTCAAGTGTCCCACTGTACCCCACTTGTGGGGCACAATCGGACAGACCCTGGGGCACAATGGGTCAGTCTGTCAAAATTCAACGAAGTATGCTCTTAAAAATAGGCAATTAATCAGCATAATCGTCTAAAGTACGGGGAGACTTCGAATTTGAAGATTTAATATTTTTAAAATCAATGTCCAACTGAAATAGTTCAGATATTTTGACAAAACATTTTGCAATAAAATTTGATTATTTCCTTCCTCGAATCTAAATCTGGAAATATTATTGATTCTCGAATATATTCCATATTAGGCCATGGGTCGAAAGAAACCATTATATTACACAAAATATAACGCATCTCTAAGTCTCTAAGCACTTATTGTATCAAACACTGTCGAATTGTGCCCTGTAGAGCATGTCCCACTGAACCCCGGTCCATTGTTCCCCATAGGAAACAAATATTTTCAGACCATCCTACGGCAAAATTCGGAAGGCACAGCCACTCGCTAACGTTAGGAATATTTTACAGTGGATTGACGCTAAAGAATATCAGACGATGGTTTGTCTCTTTGGAAAGGCTAAACTAAAAAAAAGAAAAAACTGGAACGGTGAAATTTTTTTTTCAACCTCCCAAAACCAATTTCACCCCATAGCTTGCGCCAATCTACCCGTCCGTTGTCCGTTCGCGGGGACGTTGTAACTCACCGAAGGGCGGATTGCAACATCGAGCCGCGGACAGGATTGCGGATATAGTATCAGTGTGATAGCTGATTTTCCACTGTGCCCCATGTCCCAACGTACCCCACCTTCCCCTACAGTATATATATATAATTTTAAGACAACGTGGTTTGATAGTTTTATTGCAATGGTTGAAAGGTTATCTGACGAAGATAAGTCGTTATTCAAGGAGGCGTTCAATAGTTTTGTTAAAGAAGAAGGAGGCCCTATTCAGGTTGAACAAGCTGGAGACGTTTTAAGAAAAATGGGTCTTACTCCGACACTCGAAGAAATAGAAGAATACAAACTGGTATTTGGTTAATATATACTTATTATTTTGCATTCACTTTTGCTGCTCTCGATATATTACGATTGTTCTCCTAGTCATATGAATGGGCACAAAATACCCATCATGTACTTTTCCATATGCAACTGTTGCCCTTAGCAAATTCACGGCAATCGGTAGAAATGTTCGAGCCGTATTATCGGTTTTCCTCTCCCCTGGGATAAATATGTATATCCTATTTGGTAGGTAGGAATAAATATCAACCGAAAGCGCATTACTTGTATATATACATGTTATTTTCAGGAAATTGATCCACAGTATATGGGTGACATCAGCTATGAGACAATGTTAGATTTATACGCCAAACTCGTAAAACCGCCACATGAACTTGAAGACGAAATAGCAAAGGCATTCAGGTAATGACTTACTTACTGGGTTCGTTAATGTTGTGGGAATATTTTGGCTTGAGAGTGGGCCTCAAACAATATATAATATTGTCTACGCCGTAAGCGACAACAATGGGTAAATCCGAAACAATTGGCTGATTCCGATACACCATTGAATGAGGATGGCATCGCGGTAGAAATATCGCATTGCCTAATAGATCATGTTCGCGTGTCGCGATGGATATTCGGGCACAGAGAAACACGGGTTGGATGAACCATAAATTGAAATATTCTTTGGAGTCGCAGCGCATATAGTCATTATAAGCTTTTGTGTTGGAATATTACGTTATCGGTAGAGCTGAGCATTTCGATATTCGACGCATCTCGTTTTTTATTTCTGACCGCCAAAAGACGAGGTGAATCCCTCAAATTTTTCATTGAAGCCACATTTTCGAAATACAATTTTAACATATAACTCCTTTCTTCCTAGTGACTTATTGAAACATGTTTCTTATTGTGTGTAAATACTCAGCGAATTGGGTGATGATGATGAATGTTTGTATCGGATGTTTTCTCATATTTATGAATTCTACAACCAACCGTGTATAAAAAAAAAAAAAACAGCGTCGACCACTGTGTCACACTATATTAAAATTGCACTACACTTTACTATTAATTTGGAAACCCCCTTCACTCGTAGAGTCGACAATGCAGTTTCTCTGTTATAGGCCTACCTCGCAGGACACCTTTCGATGTTTTATTTGAGTTAGATATATAGGCAATTAGTCCATGTGATTCATCCACGTAAGTTTGATGAATTTACAGTTTGATAGTGCAAAGTTGTATTCCTAAACAGTTGGGGATTGCAAATATTTAGCAAGCGTCATTCCGATTTTAACCACAAAATTTTTGGTTTATTTGTTTTAGATTTCGCGAAGTTTCATTTGTGAATATATCGCCCAAATAATCGCCGTTATCTCGTTATTTGTGTCTACAGTCAGAATAATGTTGAATGAAGTTTATTAAATGCGAATAAATACATATAATATAAATGCATACTGTGAATTACAACACTTGAATGAACTTGTTGAATGAACAACATGATTTAAGCGTGTGTATACAATATATTCATAGATTTTTTATAGTTTATTTTAGGTTTCGGACATCCCTCGTACAGTTCCAATATTTAACATATTCTTTAATTCAATAATAGTTTGCTCTTCTTTCTTTAACACGTCATTCATACCAACACCATACCATTCCTTCATTGAGCAATAAACTTGGCGATGGAAATTGAGAAATAGTCGGCCGTAAAATTTCATTATCATATTTTCCATGACCTCTTGCAACCCCCTCCACATAAAATTACATTTGACAAGTTTATATACACACATGTGCGGTTGGGCTGAATCCTTTTGTTTCAGTTTCTCCATCCAATCTTCCGCCAAAGGTCCCCTTGCAATTCCATCTCTTGAAAATGTGAATTCTTTCGGATCTGTATTTGCTGTGTAATCTCTTGAGTCGACTGGGTTATTCACAATGTCAACGTTTATCACTTGCCTTTTATCCAGTTCATCATTAGAGAGATCAAAAATGTTTTCTATTTCTCCAAAATCTGACACATGCTTTGAATCAATTAAAACAAAGAAACTATCTTTCATATAATCGTTAGTAATTGTGGTTTTGCAATATGGATACCCGTTGAATGATTTTCCATGTACTTCGAGAGATCCACTTGGTGCCAGCTTTCTTATAATAGACGGTATTTTTGAGTATAAATGATATATTTTATGAGTGTATTGATGCTTCCCATGCTCCTCATTCTCACCTGGTTCATTCGTCACCCATTCTACACCTTCTCCGCCTCCAGTTTCTTTCTTATTTGCTTCAGTGACAGACCAACGATGAGCGAACTGAAATTCTTCCACACTGATTGGTAAGACGATGCGAAATTCTTTGATAATCATATTGACAAAAAGAAATACTAAGTAAAACACAACTCTTTGAAAATAAAAAACAAAGATATATATTTATCAGAATAGAATAAATTTTAACAGAGTTCAACTTCGTATCGCGTAAGATCATGACGACATCGGTTCATCGCAAAAGTAAGAAACTGATGTACATGGTATTCATAAATATGTTTACAACTTGATTAATTAATGAACTGTACAATATATATATATATATTTAAGGTCAAAACGATATCTGGACACCTTGTATATATATATATATATATCTTGAAACATCCATGACTGTAGTAGGTTTCGCTACTAACAACAATTTTGTTGCTACTTTAATCAAAATTCAAACCAAAAATATATACCCGGTGTGGCGTTTGTGTAATTGAAACAAAAGACTGAAACTCAATAATGATTTCAGGCATTTTTACCACCAACCTAGAGCTCGCATCAAATTTAAGTTGACCAATATTTGACAAGGCTTCAAGAGAACGTTAGTAGTCTTTTAGGTTATAAATTCAAATAAATAATACAGGTTCTACCTAATCAGAATGTCGCCATCAACAAACACACTTGAACGTTAGCTAACCGCTAACGTTAGTAGTCTTTTAGGTTATAAATTCAAATAAATAATACAGGTTCTACCCAATCAGAATGTCGCCATCAACAAACACCCTTGAACGTTAGCTAACCGAAAAGCATAATGCTGTCTGTGCAGTCATAACCTGAATCAAAATTTCTCTAACAATTACTGTGATTTTATGCAAACCAAGAACTTTATCAACCATTCTGCCTCTGCAGATTTTTGAAATACTCCACTTCAAAATTTATTCAAATTGACAGTCTTGTGCGCTGGATTTAGGGTGGATTGCAAAAACTGTTCTTGGTGATGTTCATGTTTTCAGTGTCACTCACTGACTGAGAGCATCGCAGTCAACAATAGATTTTAAATCCAGCAGCTCTAAATAATGCGCCATAGAAAATACAAAATGTATATATATATATATATATATATATCAAATATTTGTCCATGTGGTAGGAGTGATTCACGTTCCACTCGATCAATCATTTTTAACGTGTCATATATTAATAGCTATGGTACATCAGTTTCCTCTTCATTATTAAACTTATGATGATTGCAAAGTGTGCAACAATATTAATCAATATCGATGATAGAAACTATATACGTGTGCGATGTCCTGAACAGCACCTCTTGGCAAAATGTTTCCGTGTTCGAGCTTATATGAAAAGAACTTCTGAACCCTTATAGCCATAACGATTTTCATATCGTTATAAAACTTATTCTATTTATATCACTGTAATGAAGCAATTGAATTACCCGTCAATTATGTGTGAATCTCTGCACACATTCATTTCTTTGCAATATTAATTGCTGTTATTTATCAATTATTGCATAAATGCATAAGTTGTTCAATTCAAACTATTCAATTATTTTGCGTTATTGCCTCACAATTGTGATTGACATTGCTTCGATTTGATACCGCTGCATGTTGCTTCATATTATGTATGTTGAAAAGTGAAATCGCTGGTGGAAAACTGAAACCTTGTGATAAGATATTCATTAGATTTGGTAAAACATAGAATGGATAGAACGTAATATTGTTTATCAAAATACTGAGATGATTTTTATTGGTTTTTGCAAAATTATTGCCTGATTTAAACTAAAGCAATTTTCTATATAAACTATATTTTCATATGTACGATGCACATAACTTTAATTGCCTCCGCAATACTGGACATGCAATTGCACTTATATTGTTTGTGGAAAGTTACGTGGAAAGTTTCTGAGCAATATTTTGGTATTGCTCATGTAGAAGAAAGTACAAATTATGTCCCAAAATGTTGGGTAAATTCTCATTATTGATAATTTAAATTCTAAACAAGTGCATGCGTGTCGTTGACGGTCATTTCATTTTCAGTTTGCTTCTTTATGGCATGAACAAATTATAAATCTATCTTGAATATTATTCGAAACTATTGTGGCTACATTTAACAGTTCAAAAGTCAAATGGTGTTATTATATAATGACATTATGTTGTTACTTGTTTTTGTGGCGTTGTGTTTGTAACGTATGACGCTTCGTGATCTTACTATTTCTGTTAAATTCTTGTGGATAATGTAGGAATTTCCAACAACCGAGGGCATTCCGAATTATACAAATAGGGATAACAAATTTTTTTTTTTGACAAAGCAGCAAAATATTCGTATATATATTTTTTGACTATAGTAAAAAACCAGAATGAAATACCTGAAATTACATCAAAATAACATTCGCAGTCGTCTTGTTACTTATCGATCTTTAGATCGATAAGTATGTTGATAGGTATTTGTCTGTTTGTCTGTTAGATGCACGCGATACCTCACGAACGCGTGGCTGATTCTGCTCCACCAAATTTTGCATGTGCATTCATCATATCTCGGACCAGAAGCCTATTGATTTTGGATAATTATGTCGTATAATTAGCGAGTTATTAATTAAATAGTGATGGGACACGCGGTGTCACTATAGGGTCATGAATCGAAACCGCAGTTTCGATCGTTAAGTCTTCGGTCTCCGACCGATATTCTCGTTATTATTTTGACAAGAAATAATACGATTCATACCGAATTATAATGTTGCCCTAAATAGTCGCCGCTCGCCGGCTCGTGAATTTTTTAACAGAAGATTCACATCCTGTGTTCATATTCATCCGACATAATTGCGATTATCTTCGATATTTTTCGACTCATTACTGCGAGCTAATGAATGGGCTGGATGATAAATTCTCTCTTTGGTGAAACTAAAATTGCAATTTGTCAACCATTACCCATGGCATTTTCATCTTAATTTTTGCGAGATCACTGAACGAAAGCCGCTGAGGAGGGTTTTTAGTGAATAGCATCTGGCCTGATAACAAAAAATATGATCCAGCGTCAAATGCCTGAAATGAGATTGTGTCAGGCGCCCGACTGGCCTTTCACCCGTAACAATTTATTTGATTATTAAATACGTGTTTATCTTGATTCTATTTCAGAATTCTGGATAAGGATAAAAACGGATTTATTGATGCTACTGAACTTCGAAATACATTGACTACCATTGGAGAGGCATTAACAGAAGACGAAGTTGACGAAATGATTGCCTACATGGACACGAATGGGGATGGCAAAATTCTTTATGAAAATTTCATTAAAGACGAACCGGGACCTACTGCGGCACCGGAGGAGTAACTATATAGCCAGTTATTCTCTGTTATTATTTCATTTATAAATTATACATAATTTTTTCTCGAAAGTTTAAGTGTTGTATATATAAGCTTAAACAATGCTGTAGTGTAAGGTAAGCTTTAGCCGCAGAGTAATGTAAAAGAGCAAGCCAGTACAATGACCAGAAATAAGCTGCAAAAATAGCGAGGGAAAACACATAATAATACCTCTCAAGTCTGAAACGTGTCATTTGTCTTCCACTATGGTTAAAAAAGCTTGCATTCAAACTCTTTACATTATTGTTCTATGTGAAAATGGGCCTATATGCTTATAAATCCAATTTCCTATTCGACCAAAAGGGTAGCTAAAACTATATTATGGGCCCATAAGCCCTACATACGCACTTTCAGTGCTCTCGGGTTGCCTAACCATCAAGAAAAGCAATTACCCCTGTTATTACAACACAAACGAGATTTGATAGGACAGAAACGTGTTATTCAACAAGAATTTCTAATTGTAATTGTAAATCATTATTCCGACAGTATGTACAGCTTTTAAATAGCACCATTGTTTTTGTAGTTCCACAGCGATGCCTGGTATTTCAATAAAAAAATACACTCTAAATCACTTTTTGCATTTTTTATTGAAATATTGACAATAGCATTGAAAAAGTGCACGGAAACGATTTTGGTTCTAAGAATAGTAGGGTGTGAACACGTACAAACGTTTTCCATGAAAACAAACAATCTAAAATGCAATGTATACTACGGAAGTCAAAATTTACTTTATAAAGTGTTTTAAAATTTTAAAGGACAAAGCATACTGCAACAGACCTGATTCATTTCAGTCGTTATGTTGAAATCTTCTGAAATACCAAAGCACGATAACACACAATTGCACTACGAGCTGATATGCAATGTTTATGGTTTTGATTCAACAAAATATTTCATGCACACAAATTATTTTTCAATCATTCATTCTGATCGAGATACTCACAAAGTCGGGACAACGGAGTCAAGATGTTACAGACAAAGTTTCATTGCTTTATTGTTTCTGAGATGAGTCGTGAGGAAAAGGCTCAACCATATGCCACAAGAACAGCTAGCTCTAGACTGGGCGTTATTTTTCTAGAGCAAGACTCTATTGATTTGAATTTGAATTTGAAAAAATTTTAATTTGGGGAACAGATAATAAATTATCAAAAACGATTTTTGAGGTGACATGTGGAATTTTCGGTAGTCGTTTACGGCAAGTTTGAAACATACTTTCTCGATTCTTTTATTCTTTTTCCAGGTCAGAATTCTAGTGTTGAAAAGCAAAAATATCAAAATTTAAAAAAATTCCAATGTAGGGAACATATATTAAATAATCAAAATCCATGTTAGGCTGTAATTCGACAAACAATAATGTTGAATGCATGCTTTCCCGTTTTGTTTCTATTTTCGGAAATAGGATTCGGAAAAAAAAATAGGAAAACTTGGGAACATATAAAGAATTAAATTACGATCGGGAACATCTGTTTGTATAATAATCAAAACTAAAATCCTATCTCCGCGATCTCATGACATCCGCGCTTTAGGACGTATCGTATTACATTTTAGTGACAGGATTATTTTCAAGATTTTAAATTCTTACAGAATCGGATGCTGGAATTGACGGCCAGGGTAACAGATCTGCGTAGCTATAGTTGCACGATGACCTTTGTGTGTGACCAAGCGAAAAGTTCAAAATTATTGACAAAAATAATGCGTAGATAATTATGGAATTGAGTTGTTCGGAATAAAATTTTGCATTAATATGCAATCCGCAACTGAAAACATCCTAATTTGTCAAAATCGCCATAGGCGAAAAAACGTGAAATTTAGCAATTCTCCAACTACAACAGTACGATTGAAGAAATTTCATTCATTAAAATTCTGCATCCCCTTGAGTTGATAGATAATAATGGTTGTAATTATATGTAATACGGTTATCAAAAATTCTCATATATGGTTAAATTCAACAAATACGAAAAACATGAAATTTAAATGTTTCCGCATTTTATTTGCATGGATCTGCTGAAGCCATGCTTGGCCCTATAGTTGGTGCCAAATTGAAGTATAAAATCAACAATTTGCAAATTCGGTTTTTTCAAAATTTCCCAAAATAAAGAATCTAATATTCTTACAATTCTAAATTTATATGATCAAAGCTTATTTGATTCCTCAATTTGATTCATTCTATCTCTTGTGCAAATTGAACATCTTATCTCTGATTCACAGTTTCAAAATTTATGAAACACCTCTGAAAAAATGTTGAAACTATTGCGGCGTTATGCTCTTTTATAAATTCAACCGCATGCACTACAGATTAAACACATTAGATTACGAGTGCGATGTATCTTTCTATTCATTCTGAAAGCAGAAAAGTCGATGAAATGAAAAACGTCGATGTCGCTCAACCAATTTCCTCTGATCATTATATCAACAGAGTGTCTACATGTAAAAAATATATCGATGGTTCTTCATGTTTAGATTTTCAGGTGGTATTTTATTCGAATGGCATGGGTCGATCGACATCTTTCGGATACAATATTGCCTTTCAAATTTATTATACCATGGGTTTAGTGATGTGGAGGAATAACGAGGATTTTTTTATACGACGACCTGTCATCACTTCCTCCTCGAACAAGGCTATTTGGAAATGCAACATCTTTCCCAGTTCGGCATTGCCTAGTTTTAGAAAATGCTTTTTTTTACCAGCTTTGCTTAATTGATATTTGGCAGAGAAAAGCGCCCTCAAATAACCTTGTCCGTGCAGCTCTCTAGGTCTAGGTCTAGATCACTTGTAGAGTGCTATATAAACTCGATAAATTCATGCTTTCAATTCTGTTATGGTGAAAATTCTATCTTATTCCCAAAAAATTATGAACTGGTGATTTATTTATGGAATCGTTTTGTCTCACTCATGGATCAAGGGTCTCTATCAAGCCCTTCGAGTGTGGCCCTAAGATAAATTTCACGACTCATTTTCCCAGGAGTCATGCTGTTTCAATAAGCTTACCCGGTATAGAGGATGGATGCGTGTTTTTGACCTTCAGTGTGACAACAATAACGGTGGAACTATTTTTAGGCATAGATAACGCCATGTTGGTTAGGTATATTATAGACAATCCATTTATTTTCAATCTAATTTATATTCAACAGTTTCTGTCAAACTAGGTGTTAGAACCTTGGGTGTCGCAGCTCGATAACCAGTTTTGGTTCCCCGCGGCTTCCCTTCCCCAGTAATTTAAATATCATTTTTTCTATATATTTTTGCATGTGTTTCTTGTTTTTTACTGGTTGGAAAAAATAAACTTGACTTGACTTGACTCTATAGACGCAGCATACAATGCAATCAATACCATTTTCATTATTCCATCCCGAGAACATATCATAGTTCAAGAGGCCATAAGATACCAGCAAGAATATTCATCCATTGAATAGTATTGACAATTTATATATATATTTATCTCAGGGGAGAGGAGAGTGGATGAGACCACTTAATCATTTGGAGAATCACGGCCTATCGTCCGATTAGCGATTACCAGTCAATGTCACGGGTATGAGATCAGTAAGCCAGATTTGTTTTGTTTTCTATGCGTGGATGGGTTTGATGGTAGAGGAAGCCGTAACTTACCAGCGATTGCGTGAACCATCATCCTACGGCGGCGGCCATGAGGCTAAAAATCATCTCGCACATAATTATTCCTCGCGGTATTCGAATCTTCGAACCCACGCAGGGTTATCAGATGCTGGGACAAGCGATTTCCACGCTTAGCACGATGCACCACACTGCCGAGCTAATTTAGAGTCTGCACAGGAAACAGTAAACAGCATTGCGACAGGAATTGTGCAGTTACCCTCTATTGATTTTTGTATTTCAGAAAGCATATACACAATAAAGCTTATTTTTCCTTAAGCCGATTCCCTACTCAAGATTTGCAGCTGTCAAAACGATGTACTGTAGACATCGACTTGAAACGTGTGGGCTGGTATTTTATGTGAACGGATTAACAACAATTGTAGTCGATTGTAATCAAATAATTTTAAATGGTATTTTGGCAATTAAAACAACACAATAAAACGCACTACGGCTTTAAATTCTAACACTCAAAGCTATTTGTACTAAGATTTCTTACTTTCAGTTATACGAAGTATGGTATCTCACACTTATCTCACACAAAGTAAGCGTAATAGCATCAATGTTAATACAAAAAGTAAGTGATTGCTAAAAGTTCGTATTTCTGAAAGAAACAAATTAGATGCTCATGTTTCAACGATCGATGAATGGAAACGGGATTCTCTGAGTTATTATTGGATAAATTTACATGGTTAGTCTTACAAGTTTAATAAGATTGCTACAAGACCGAAAAATCTTATTCAATTATCTTTTTATTTCGTGGTGTTGAAAATCATTGCGCTCCTATTGGGAGAAAAATTACGATTTGTTGATGCCATTTATACCATTGATTTCAACTTAGTAGACTAGTCGTTAAAACAATCCTACAAATTTAAATTTTCATTCAAGGAAAGAATTACTCCCGTTACGACACAACAAACGGGGTTTCAAAATCATAAACTGGCCAAAAGAAAAACACTGTTTACGTGAGCTTGTTGCTTATAATAAAGAGAACGTTTAGCCGATTTCTTCTGTTTTATGGTTCAGAAATTCTTGTGTCTGAACAAGACCCATACCCTTATAGCGACCCTCAGCACCACACACCCTGAAATACTAGTCACCGTGACAAGAGCAAATTACAAGTTAATAAAATATATTGCGAGCCTTGTTAGATATACTGTATATATATGTATAATACATCATGCGAAAAACTACATCAGTCACAAGCCCTAAAACATTATTTATAATAATGCGGTGAATATGCAGTTTGATAGTGCGGAAAAACAGTGTTATTCAACAAGAATTTGCAATCCAAAATGCTTAGCGTAACATTCTTTTTTTGCCCAGCTGAACACGATTACTGGAAATGGTGTGCTAAATTGCTATGGGTTTGGAGGTTGAAATTGAATGAGATTATATTTTGATGCAATATACAATACTTCGGCGCACTTCATTTTTCTGTCATCCCTTGTACAGTTCCGATATTTCTCATTTCATTTAATTCAACCTTGGTTTTCTCTTCTTTTGTCAACACATCATCCATACCAACACCATACCATTCCTTCATTGAGCAATAAACTTGGCGATGCAAATTGAGAAATAGTCGAGCGTAAAATTTCATTATCCTTTTTTCCATGGTCTCCTGCAAACCAAACCACTTAAATTCACATTTGACAAGTTTATATACACACATATGGGGTTTGGTCGAATCATTTTCTTTTAGTTTTTCCATCCAATCTTCTGCCAAAGGTCCCCTTGCAACTCCATCTCTTGAAAATGTGAACTTTTTCGGATCAGTTTCTGCTGTGTGATCTCTTGGATCGATTGGGTTATTCACAATGTCAACGTTTATCACTTGCCTTTTATCCAGTTCATCTTTAGAGAGACCAAAAATGTTTTCTATTTTTCCAAAATCTGACACATGTTTTGATTCAATTGAAACAAGGAAACTATCTTTCATATACTCGTTAGTAATTATGGTTTCGCAATATGGATACCCGTTGAATGATCTTCCATGTACTTGGAGAGATCCACTTGGTGCCAGCTTTCTTATAATAGACGGTGCTTTTGATAGCAAATGATATATTTTGTGAGTGTACTGATGCTTTCCATGCTCATCATTTTCTCTTGGTTCATTTATAACCCATTCTACACCTTCTCCACCTCCAGTTTCATTCTTATCGGCTTCAGTGACAGACCAACGATAAGCGAACTGATATTCTTCCACACTGATTGGTAAGACGATGCGAAATTCTTTGATAATCATACTGACAAAAGAAACACTAAGTGGGAGTTTGTCTATTAAACATAAACAAAACTTTAAAAATAAATATTAACTTTACATTTATGACATTTTATATGTGTACAGTATTGCACCCTCGGGCGGAATAAGCCCCTTTGGTGCCCTAAGCACTGAAGACTTTGGTGCCCCCTCATGTGTAATTTATTTAAAAAAACAATAAACCACATAAGTGTATTATCCATTAAAAATAATCACAACCAACAGTAAATAAAACAACTTTTACGAACATTTTTAGGTTTTTTAACTGTTATATATAGCCGATATATATATATCGTAAACGGCCGATATGATATATCGGCAAACTGGCAATATCGGGCCGACATATCGGTTGAGCTCAAATTCTGAAGGAGTGTGACAATAAAGATTCAAGCCTCCAGTTTCAACGTGAATCGAAATACCGAAGGATACAAGTCACAACTGTAGTTTGAAATTTTACCAGTACCTAGTTGTCTATACCTCAGGGTGGTTCAAGGTTGCTAGGTTGAAGGACCGCAAAAACTTTTGAGGAGGTCTCGCGGGCCCCAATTCGGAGAAAACCCAAAAGTGATCGAAATATCGCGAATTAACTTACTTTAAATTTAATAAACAACGAGAGTTTACTGTTCTAATCAAACTATTATTATGTTGCATGGGTGGCGTTCTTTTAAAGATAATATATATATATATATATATATATATATAAAGACTTCAGTTATTTTAAAGTTAATTCCCGAGAATTACCGTCGCATTTTGCGCATCTCCCGTTTAATGCCGCTTCAAATTATATTCTTTCGTGACAGATATTACTTGAAATCAAACCAGACACTGTGTGATGGGCAAGGAAATACGTTTCCGCCGTGTTTTCCCCATGTCATCTTTTTGCGACACTCATTTTATTACGAATTGTTATATCGAGTAATTTAAAACCTTGCAGCGTGAGCAAGCTTAGTGCTATCGTCATATACCAACCAAGTCCGTCTAAGTTGGTATTTCGGGACCTATTTAAAAAAAACTGGATTGTGCGGCGTTAAGTCGGCTTTGCGTTCCGTCACTACTGTCACATGGCCGACGCTCGAAAACAGAGGAATGTTTTTACTAAAATAAAGGCACACAGAGTTAGAAAAAGGGGTTGAATCTCGGGATCCCAACCCCAGTTAGAATAGCTAAAAAAAACTCAAAAACGTTCCTTCATAACAAATATACGCTAAAATTGTTCTGTGAGCCGCACGGAATGTATCAGCATGACAGGGTTTGGACCACCCTGGTCTACCTTATCAAAAAAAACTCCCGACTTCGCTGACCACTATATCGTTGAAATGCGATCGTGGAACCGCCACATAGTGTAAATAGTTCATTGGTCCATTTGTTGAAAAGAAAAGAAATTTTTTTAAAACAAAAATGCAGCAACAAGGAGAATACTAAAAGAAAAAAATTCAAGAAAACGACTCTTAGGCCCATTTCGTGTTCAATAAATAAGTTTCAGTGTTTATTTTTAATAAAGAAGGCTAATATGATACTTGAAGACGAAAAATAAGCGAACATTTTGAAGTCTGAGTCGTCTGGTGAACTCTGGTTAATTAATAAACACCGATAAACTATATAAAATTCTGCTCTAAAATTTCTGTGGTGCCCCTCTTTGCCTGGTGCCCTAAGCGCGTGCTTATATTGTTTAATGGTTAATCCGGCGCTGATTGCACTATAAAAGCACTCAACTAATCAAAACTTTGATCCAAAACTAAAAAATAATGTATTCAGATATATACCAACATGCGCTAGTCCAATCGATTTTGTGTGATGGGACTGGGAAATTCAAATACTAACCTTGATCAAAAACTGAATTTGGAAACTGAAACATAAAAAACTGAAAATGTCTTCAATATTACAATTATATATCGTGATAATTGCGAATTCAATTACGACTTTTCTACTGCATTCTTCATGCACTACACTTTCTGACAGATTTATTTATCTTTATCTAGCTAGAATGATTAGCTCAAACTGTTTTTATCGCTCTCGGCGACCAAGTAGTAATTTTCGCTACTGGATAGAAGCAACATAGTTTACAATAGCTTTTAAGTACAACATCTATAGCGAATTTTACTGCGTTATCAAATGAATAAGATACATAAACGCTCCAATGAAGCAATTGGATTGCCTATAAGTTACGTGTTTTTATCGTTGCACTTTAATCATTTATTATTCCGCCGCATCATATTATTAGTAGCCATAACTAGTCTATTAGATACATTATAGCTAAGTTTCCGTTCTCACGAGCGATTTATGATATAATTACTTTATTTTCAACATACTTCTAAACTATTCCACGGTGCGCTGTAAAGTTAATAGAGGCTTTTATGATGTCATATATTGTGGAACAAATCGCAGCATTATCAATATCACATTATCATCAATTATCCTCGTGAGAAACGATGGAATAATTCGTTTCATTTCCCTAGCGCAAAACAGCTGGACACAAAGTGAACATGATATGGATCGTTTTGTTACTATATTTCACGGAATTCACGTTCACGGTTTCCACGGAAATATTTCTTTATTTTTTAAAGTTAAGGTGTTCCAATTGGCATACTTTTATTTCCCACCATTTCTTCATACTCCTTTATTCGTGAAGCTGAAATCCCGTATGGTTATTTTTGTGAGAAAATGTACAATAACTAAATACCAAATTTCTAAACACTATATACACAATCCAATAATAAACACTCAAGTTTCGTTGCAATATTTTGTTATATTGCCCACTTGAAACAAAGTACAAAATATGTCTCAAATTTGCTTAATTCGCATGATATGATACAATTAATTTGGGTGTTTCAATTTGCAACGACGTACAAATCTTTACATGAATGTTCAATGAGCTGTTTCTCCTGAGACGTTTCTCTAAAACCATATTAGAGATGTTTCTCTAATACTATGCTTTACGTCCCTGCCAGCCGCTTGTATCGATCCCATTTTGCGTCTGGTCATTTATCAACTACGTATTTCTAAGTTGTATGTAAACCGAAAAATCCTCGATCTGTCTGTCCAATATCTTTGAAAACGCTTGTTCAGAATGATAATTAACGTTGGTAGGAGTCACCGTCCGCAGATAGCCGTACATTCAGACAGGAATTACAACGGTGGGGATAAAGACGAACCGACCGGAACAACCACAAAAGTAACTATATATGCAGATATTTTCTATTCTTATGCTTGTTTATAATGCATAAATATAACTTACTCAAAATGGAATGGAATAATCTTTGATTGTGTACGCGTTAACTAGAGGATAAAACGAGAATAGAAAGTGGGGGAATTTGAATCAGGCAACATGTGGTTTCTGGTTCAGGCTAAGTTCAAAACCCGGAATAGCCAAGCAAATATGACCAAAGCAATTCTAACTCCGGAAACTTATTTAGGGTTTTCAGAGCCCATTTGGTATGATTATTTTCACATTTCTCCAATCGTCATCCATGGGACCCTAAAAAGATACCACAATCAATGTTATAATTTTTGCCGAGAAAATTATAATTGCATTTACGGAGGTTGCAAATCGATCACGGACTACCCAGCAATCTTCAACGCAATGCAACGACTATAATTATTGTCGATGATAATCGGCAGTAACGAATCGTAAGCTGATACAAACTTCATTGAAAGGAATTATTATCATCATAAGTTTTGGAGGCTTTTGTCATAATAAAACTCAAAGAACCAAAAGCTTTAAATATTTGGGAGTTGTTTTGATAATAATTTCAGTCAGAAGCCTCATAAATATTGCCAAATTGTCTAAATCTAAAGAGTCAGTTTTATAGACTGGGTAATATATTAGATTTCATAACTCCAAAATTAGTTTGTTACATTTGTTTCGAATATGACTTTGTGTGTTATGATTATGCAGTATGTGTTTTCTCATATCTCAACCAAGTATCGCGAAAACAAGTTCCTGGGTACATGACATTTTCTGAAGAAATTAATTCACTTAACCAAACTCCAACTATACCGTCGTCATGAAATTTTACATCTGTAAAACTGCATAAATGAGAAATTGCTAAGCTTATACATCTACATAAACATTTAGTAATTACTTTGCCGAATATGACACAAATTCTCAAAGAATATATATATTATATATTATTCTAATCAGCAGGCGACAAGTTAAAATTAAAAAAAGATCGTTGAAACAAGATGGTTCACAGGTTTGGGCTATTGTGACACCTGGAAATAAATAAAATCTTTGCTTGTCTATTAACAGGAATACTGTATGAAGAAGATTTTGTTGGCCAAGTACCCTGATTGTCTTCTGCTATATCTCGACCGTATCAATAATTATATGCGATATATATACATCGGATTGGGCAAAAGGGGAAACCGCCCCGGGCATCACGTTGTATGGGGCATCATAGCCAAGCTGTAGAGTTTGCGGTATTACACACGTTTTTGGACACGAAATGGACATAACGATCGTTTCAATATTATGTTGTTGTTGTTGTTCTTTGACACGTTTTTAAAAAGTCGCTTTTCTCTTCGAATACTGGACCAATTGCTTTGAAATTTTCAGTGGTTGAAGATAAAATTTTACTCCAGAAGGCTATTACTTTTATTTATTTCAAAATATTGCGTGAATTCTATGAAATTTGATATTTCGTCTAAAATTTTTCTGTGTTATTTTTTATCCATGGGAACACGGATTTTAGTCAGTGTCATGACTGGCTGTACGTTTTGATTCTGCAAAATTCTTGCTACTGGAAATTCAGAACTTTTTTGAGGGTACCGGTAGCGTCAAAGGTACCGGTAAGGACTGATTCGCTCGGTCTAACGTGTCCATATATTTGTGCGTAGCTCTCTTGTTCTCAATGTGTTTTTATTTAATTAGAAGCTGACATTGTGTATTAGGTCGTGTGTGACTGACTGTGGTGATGGCGAGTCAAAAAAGAATGTTTCCCCGACCCTTGTCCCCAGAAAAATTCTTCCTATATTCTACAATTGCAACATTTTTGGTGCTCATTTTAACGATGGTTTCGCAAGTAAGCGCCTCAAACAGGTTTATATGTTTCAAACAATTATTTTAATTCAAAATAGGCAACTCTGATTTTCCAATAAATGCAAAG